TCCTCTTTTCTAAGCTGAGAAGTCCCAGTCTCTTTAGCCTCTCTTCATATCTGGCGGGTGAGGGACCTGTTCCAAACCCCTGATCATTTTAGTTGCCCTCCCCTTTCCCACCCTCTCTCTTCCTCTCTCCCACCTCCTTTTCCCAGTCTCCCCGAGTTTTGTTCAATAAAGAGAGTTTCTATTTTTGAACACACGTGTCCTTTATTTTGTACATCAGGAAGGGGGGCTAGGGAGAGGTAAGTGGGAGGAGGTGAGGGAGGAATGGGGTATGAGCCCCCGATGGGGAGGACTGGGCTGGCTCTGCGTGCTCCTCGGGGTGGAAGCTCTCCTGAAGCCCCTTGATTGCCCCCCCCCCTCCGGATGGCAGCCTGCGGCAAGTGCAGCCGGGCTGATGGCCGAGATGTGCCGAGTGTGGGCACTCCAAGCCAGGACTGCTTTGCAGGCGGGGAACCCCTGAGAACTGTCTGTCCAGAGTGGGGGTTGGGACCCTTTAAGCACAGCCCTTGGCTAGCCTGAGACAGCATCTCCACGCTCTAAGTCCTAATCTGATGCCCTGCCGGCACTGCTTCCGGCCAGCCTTAACCTCGGTTCAGGGTCCACTCAATGTGGACATGCTAGTTCGAATTAGCAAAATGCTAATTCGAACTAGTTTTTAGGTCTAGATGCACTAATTCGAATTAGCTTAGTTCGAATTAACAAATTCAAATTAAGTTAGTTCGAATTAGTGCTGTAGTGTAGACATACCCTGATAGGGGACATCTACACAGCAGGGCTAAAGCCGAAGTCAGCTATGCAGCCTGAGCTACGGCAATTGTGTCACTTCACTTGAAACAGCTTAATTCAGCTTTTGGCACCATCCACACAGCAGGAAGTCCAAGAAAAAGCCCTCTCCTCCCACTTCCCTTGCTTCTCGTAAAATGAGGGTTACAGGAGGCAGAGTAAGAAGTCTTCCAGCTCTACATTATTTTGACATTATGTCAAAATAACAGCTTGTAGTACAGACGCAGACTATGTTATTTCGGAATAATGCCAGTTATTCCGACAGAACAGTGCTGTGTAGACGAACCCTTAGGTGCTACAGTAACAGGACCGCTTTATTTTCTACAGAAGATGGTAGCTGCTCAGGTCCTCAGAACACTGTCTAGATTTAAGAACACTCAGATATTTCCCCAAACCAGAATTGCAGCCAAATTAGAGATGTAAAATCCCAATTAATCAGTTAACCAGTTAAATGTTAGGTTGACCTAACGTTTAACTGGTTAACTCATTAAGCGGGATCCCAGGCGGGAGACTGCTCCAGCCCGATTAAAACAGGCCCCAGCCTGCCGGGCTCGTTTCCAGCCCCCATGTTGGGACTGGCTGCCAGCTCCTGGCCTCCACGTTGGCGCTGGCTCCCAACCCCTGCACTCAGGCGGGGGCTGCTGCCGGCTCCCAGTTTCTATGCTGGGGCTATCACCAGCTCCGGAAAGCCACAGACGGGGAGTTGCTCCCAGGGAACCAGTTAACCGTTCACATCCCTAAGCAGAATAGGAACATAAGAATGGACCATGTAGCCCGGTATCCTGCCTTCTGACAGTGGCCAATGCCAGCTGCTTCAGATAAAGTGAACAGAACTGTGAGATTCACCCCCTGCTGTCCAGTCCCAGCATCTAGCAGTCAATTGGTAGCTATGGTAAAATGCTACATTTTAGGTCTAGCTCATTACTTTGAAGGTCAATGCCTGAAAACCATCACCGACGATCAGCTGTTTGACAGAATATGTGAATGGGGTTGGTGCCTTCAGTAAGTACTATTTTATCCTGAGTGGTCCAATCCAATAGGACAAATCCTACCTTTGATCATAACCAGTAAACTGTGTTGTAACCTCAGAAAATAATGCTGTCTCCCTACTTGCTAAATCCTTGGCCTATATTCTACACCCTAGGGCTGTGCCATAGGACTCCTCACCGCTTTTGCAGATTCAGACTAACACGGCTCCCCCTCTGATACTTGATCCCACATAATGTAACTTCAGCTCTATTGTGCTCAATTTCTGGATTAATGCCATACAGTCAGATTTTGTAATAAAGTGTGCTATGCCCATATCTTTTAAAACAGATCATTGATAATACTATGCTTGTATTCCACAGCACAAATGGTAACGCCTATGATATTCAGGGACAAAATACCCAGTGTATTACCCACATGCAAGAAATAACAATGAAAGCCTACTAGAAATCATAGCAATATCTTTATTATAGAACTGTAGTTAAAAAAAAAAAAACTTTGGGAGACATAAAATAGTGATCTTCCTTTGTTTTATAAAAAGTGTCATTCACCATAAATGCTAGAATTATTTTAATCCAATACTTGACAGATACACATAATTAGTATTTGAGAAGTTCCCTTCAAATCTGTTTTATTGTTCCAGTTTAAGACAAAGAGCTAGGAAAAGAACATTCAACATCCATTTGAACATACACTATACAAACCCATATCAACAGCTACCTGGTCAGGGGATGACAGGTGTGTTAGGCTGAACTTTATATATGTTTTTAACTATGAAATGACTCTGGTGATATCAGTGCACCACAAAGCACACCAGTGTCAGAGTAAATTCTGCAGAGTCCAAGGAGAAGGCACTTTCAACCCCAGCCTTAACAGGTGGCTCTCCCAGGTCAAGATTGAGGTGCAGTTTGCTACACATGCACTGTTAATTAATAACCCAACTTATCAATCTCGCACTTTTCACTAAACATAATTTAAAGGTAACTTTAAGAAGGACAAAAAGAGTAATGAGTACTGGACGCATATCCTTCCACTAGATTATGAAGACATGTATTGCTGGTTTTTTGCTTATATAGCTTATGCTAGGAATAAATAATTCTTGCCCTTCAGAGTTAACACTTTTCTCTACCACCTGGATTTGTTTCAATTACTGTTTTGAGGCACTTAGATAAAGTCCAAACATTAGAGATGTGCTATAAAGCAAAGTGGGAAAAAAATTAAACCTAGGACAGAAGTAGTGGCAGGATCTTATAAAAACATTTTTATACTGATTTTTACAGACTAAATCACAACCTAAAAATGCAATACTATGCCAGGTAGAATCCGTCTAACCTGCGTATCTCCGTATTTTGTTGGAGAGGTGACATCTGGACATGCAAGCCTTTTATTCCTGATTCTGCAAACCTTATGTTAAGAAAAATATCTTCACATCAGGCGCTTCAGTAAAATAAAGAGGCCCAATTCTATGCATTTGGGCTCTTACGTGAGTACCATCATCAGCAATGATTGCAGAATTCGGCTCTTTGCAGGATTAGGAGGGGGAAAACCCAGATATTCAGGAGAAAGGGCCCAGTCCTAGAACGTGGAATGAGACTTGAGGGAGGTCAGCACTTTACAGAATTTGGCATCAGATTAATCTTCATATTCACACACAACCCCCAATTATGTTGGTGTGAATGAGATGTAGTAAGAGGTGAATTAGAACCATTAATCTGCAATACTGATGGATTTGGTCCCTATGAGAGCGTCAAAAATAAAAGGAAAAGGCTCAAATACACAAACAAAATCTGTTTAGTAACTCAGAGCACAAATAAAACTTCATTCATACCTGAACCTACACAGATGCTGAGATAAAGATGCTGTCTTCAAAGTTAGCAGACAGAATTAAAGCATGTGTCTATATATTTGTCAGCTGAATTGTGACTAGCATTTGGCATCAATTTGACAATGCAATACAATCAATTATCCCTATCATTAATAGCAAAGTCAACAGCTTAGTAGCATCTGCTCCCAACATAGAGCTGATGGCCAGATTTTTATTTTTTCTTCATTCTAGCATCTTCTAACATTTCTGTTTTACTCTCATCAAGTATAAAGGGCGAATAGAAATCTTTGTTCTTCATTTGTGTTTCCAAACCCTGAAAAATATAGGAAAACAATATGCAATTTGGTTGTAAACTTCAGACTTGGTGAATTTTGTTATTTTTAGTGTATTTAGTGGTGGGAAAGGATGACTCACAGCCCAAAAGTCTAAATGTTTTTTGACTAAAGAAACAAGCACAGACAAGCAGCCCCAGCTTCCCCTGTAATACGCTACAAAGCTAAACCCTGTGTTTCCACAGAGATGCAAAAGAGCTTAGCCTAGCCCTGATGCTCTCAGAGTCCCTCCTGTCATTCTTGTAGGGATGTTATTTCCCATACTATCTATTCCAGATAAGGATACTCCCTTCCCCCCCTCCCCCCCAAAAAAAGTTGCACTACAATCAATTTCAGAAACAAGACTCCACAGAGTTCGTGTCTCTCGAGGAGGCAGAGTGTATATTAAGCAGTTTTGTTGTTAAGTATTATTTGCTCAGTATCGGAGAGATCCTTATCTGATATACATCGATGTGCAGAATTACACCATCTGAGAATCTGGTCCAATCAATGTATTAATCATTGTATTTTGTACCTCCAGAGTGGTTTCAGAGGATCTCAAAGCATTTATAAATCTTAATGACGTCTCAGCTCCAGGGGAGGCAGATATTACAAATCTCATTTTATAGATGGCTAAAAGCGACACACACAGAGATTAAGGGATTCAGTGAATGCCATACAGTGAATCAGAGGCACAGTCAGAAACATAGCTCAAAGCTCCTGAATCCCAGGCCCTCTAGTCTAATCATTACCCTATTTCCCAGCAACTGCAAGATAAAGAAACCAGCTTTCTCAACAGGAAAGATACACATACACCATCAACAATCCCTGCAGACAGTTGTACTCACCTCTCCAAAATAAGACACCAGTGGAGAAATCTCACACACAGCAGGAGGATCTTCAGTTCCTGATAAACTAAAGGAGAAAACCAGGGATTAATCTCTCTGTCTGTACAATGAGAGCACCCTCGAGAGAGTTCAAAGAGAGGAACAGGCTACCAAAAGGGCGAGTGGTAGTTACATTCAGAGATTAAGCTCAGGTCCCGTGACAGTTTGAATCTTGAGTGGGGGTAAATAGAAGAGCCAATGTTTCCTAGCTACTTCAAAACTAACAAAACAAATACATGCAGATCCTGATGTGGGGCTTTTTAACGGACACGAACAGCTTCCAGCTTTCCTGGACTATGAAATGATGAAACACCAGCCCCTCCACAGGAAAGGCTTGTGTGAATAAAGTGTGAGAAAGGACGCATCTGAAATGGGGATTGCTATATAGTAGCTGACAGCCACATATCAGAACAACACTGCTATCCAATGAGAAGCACTGGTGCAAGCAGAGTAGCTTACACCTCTGAGCCCTTCATGGCAAGAGGAAGATTGACTGCAACATAGGCTACGTCTAGACTGCATCCTTCTGTCGACAGAGAGATGTAGATTAGGCACGTCAAAATTGCTAATGAAGCAGGGATTTAAATATCTCGCGCTTCATTAGCATAAACATGGCCGCTGCTTTTTTTTCTGAAACGAAGCTTTTTCGAAAAAAACCCCGCAGTCTAGATGCAGATCTGTCAAAAATAAACCCTTTTCCTCATTTTTGGAGGAATACAGGATCTGTCGAAAAAGGGTTTATTGTTCGACAGATCCCCATCTAGACTGCCATTTTTTTTCAAAAAAGCTCCGTTTCGAAAAAAAGCGACGGCCATGTTTATGCTAATGAAGCGCGAGATATTTAAATCCCTGCTTCATTAGCAATTTTGACATGCCTAATCTACATCTCTCTGTCGACAGAGAGGTGTAGTCTAGCACAGCCAAAGGCAGTATTTCAGCTAATGTTCTCTGTGTCAGGATTGCCATCACGGGGGTCAGTTTTAAATCCTGCCAGAGTTCCACGGGGGTGCGGAAATAAAATACTAACAGCCTTGGCCACGCCCCCTTTCCATACCGCACCACTCACATCTGGGGATGCCCGGTCCTCTACGCAACCCTGGCATAACTCAGGTTATGGCCACCCTATCGTGCTGCAACCTCAGCCCTCAATGGATGTCCTGTTAGCAGAAGCCTCTGCCAGAGTTTATGCCTAGCGGCAGGGGCAGATGATGATTTTGCGGAGCCCAGAGCAGCACAATTTCGCGGGGCCCCCCCTTTGACACGGCGCATGCGCGGGGCTTCTTGAAGCGCGGGGCCCAGGGCGGCCGCCCCGCTCGCCCTGCCCTATACCGGCCCCTGCCTAAGGGTGTCTCAACCTCATTAAGGGTCTCTGCTGCGACTTGCACCCAGAACACATTCCCTCTCCCAGGGAAGTTTTGCTTGAAGTCATGACATTTCCATGAAATTCTGTAGTTGTAGTGGCCGCGCATGCGCGGGGCTTCTTGAAGCGCGGGGCCCAGGGCGGCCGCCCCGCTCGCCCTGCCCTATACCGGCCCCTGCCTAAGGGTGTCTCAACCTCATTAAGGGTCTCTGCTGCGACTTGCACCCAGAACACATTCCCTCTCCCAGGGAAGTTTTGCTTGAAGTCATGACATTTCCATGAAATTCTGTAGTTGTAGTGGCCAGCGTGGCTGATCCCAAGGCCACCTGAGCAACTTGCCCCAGGGCCAGCCACACCGGCCACCGCTGGAGCCACCCCGTAAACCTC